TCAGCACTACTATATCACAGTTTACTTGTAATCTAACTAATAAGGTCATGAAACTATCTATGTTGCAGTTTATACTTCTGATATTTTGAGTTATTATATTCATACGTCTATTCAGATTTGGAATATTATTATGACAGAATTCTGGGTCACATGTTAATGATTCGGAGACAGATAACGTTTCAAGGTTTTCAGCTATATTATTTATAGAATCGAATTTTGTTGTTTGTAAATAGGGTGCTTTTTTTTTAAAAAAAAAAAGGTCCATAAAGTATATAATTCATGTTGCAGACAGTGTTATTAGTTGGTTTGCTAATTATGTTCGGATTAGTACATGTTATTAATATTTGTTTTGTGATTTCATTATAGTAGCTTAGATTTTTTATAATTAATTTAAGGTCTGACGTGGTATCAGGTACAAATATACGTGTGATTAGGATATATCTATGATTTACGTGGTACATTATTTTAAAGAATATAACAAATAAAAAATAAACAAAAAACAAACATTCATAGGTAATACCTAAAATTTGGCTATCGCTATGGTAGTCGTGGTACATTGTTCTAGAGAATAGAACAGACAAACCGTAAATGAATAACAACCATTTATAAGTATTACGTGAGATTAGACTATATGTATAATTTTCGTTATAAAATATTTTAGAAGATAGAAGAAACAAATTACAAGATAAAAACAAACATTCGTAAATAACAGCAGTTGGTAAAAACTGGCAAATATGAAAATAATGATAATGAAGTGGCATGCAAACTTGATATTTTAGAACAATAGCTGCTAGTCACTTGCTTAGGTTCTTTAGTTCAGCCACTTGTTCTTCGTCTTTTACATTAATAAGGGGAGAACCTTCCTGCTTGCGTAGAAGTACGTTACCATTTGCAGACCAACAGTACTTGTATTGACCGCTCTTCACTAATTCACGACCCAGGTAGTACAATCTGCGGGCTTTCATTGTTAGACGTTCCGCTATATATATATAATTTGTAGTATTTTGGTCACCGAGGCATGATGTATTTAAACGTGATTTATTATGCATATTAAATTGCTTCGCTGCTGTTAGTATATTATTTTTTAAGATTATTGAGGAAAGCGAGACCAGTATTACACGATTTTGAGATTTACTTGGTAGACGTCGGATGTCTACTATACAACTTAGAGAGATGTCCACTGAAATAGTTTTGAAAATCTGGATGGCAATTCCAGCGAGTTTTTTTTTATTTATTTATTTTTTTTTTTTATTCTTACATTTATTTAGGGACTTTTATCATAATATGATAATGCCAGTCCCATCGTATCTTATTACTAATCTTATCTTCTACTGCACAATGAAAATAAAAATTTTGCTGGCGATGATACAGGATCAGATAGTATACCGTGGTACATACCAACATCAAGCCGATTCAGTCCAAATTTTTTTAAAAACAATTCCCTTTTAACAGCGTCTCGGACACACTCCATTAATATGTGATGCAGATCTTCTATAGTATTGCATGTTTCGCAGTTGGAGGAATCCGATTTATGCATTAAAAAGGCAAATCAAGTTAATGGATAATGTCCGGAACGCAGCCTTAATGCTGTGACAATTAATTTCCTATTGTACTTAATGAAATGAAACCAGGGTACATGAGGAGGCTCACATTGTAAACTTTTATACCAAATACCCTTACTTTTTGACCTTTCATCAAAATAAGTTTTCCATATATAATGACTAATGCGCTTAAATTTTCTAAAAATTTCATAGTGACTAGGTAAGATTTCAGTATTTAATCCTTCTTCTATAGCTTGTTTTGCGTACATGTCAGCCTTCTCATTTCCTGTCAAACCTATATGTGCTGGTACCCACTGCAATATCAAACACATGCCTTTATTAAGAAACTCATTAATTTGATTAAGAATTATGAATGCTATATCTACTCCGATTTTTCCAGATCTACATTTTAATATGTGATGCAACGCACTTTTACTATCTGTAAAGATCACTGTTCTTTTCTGGTTTAATTTGAAAGCGTATGTTAATGCTTTGGATATTGCATAAAGTTCAGCTGTCATAATAGAAATATAAGAATTCATTTTATACATTTCATAATATTTTAAATCTGGAACATAAAAAGCTGCACCTAATCCTTGTTTATTTTTAGATCCATCAGTCCATATCGTATGCCAATATTGATATTTTTGATAAAGTTCTTGAGTTACATCTACTCTTAAATTATTAAGTTCATATTTAGATTTAGCCATTTGTAACATATCTAACTTTAATTTAATTACATTTGAAAGATTTATATACGATACCCAGACATCAAGAGAGAACACATTTACAAGATTTGACGATTGTACAATTTCATCCTCCATTTCGTTGAAAATTAACGCTAACAATGGCTTCTTTTTGTTATTCCAATACCTTTCATTACATAGTGTGTACAATTCAGATAAAGACAATTTTATCATGCTGTCAGACAAGCATTTAATTTTTAAACAAAATTTGTACGCTAGGTATTGCCTTCTAATGAATAAAGGTGGTATACAAAGCTCACTCTCCATCACATGTATGGGAGTTGATTTGATAAAACCTCCTACTATACGCAAAGCTTGATTTTGAAGCTTATCCAATTTGGACACGTGAGTAGATGCAGCGGTGTCGTACAAAAATGCTCCATAGTCTAACCTGCTACGTATGATACACATGTAAAGTTTACGTAGGTGTGAAGGATGTAATCCCCACCCTGACCCAGCAAGAACTTTCAATAAAGATATATACTTTTGAGACTTCTGAAAGACTTCATTTACATGCTTTCCCCAACGCAAACGTGCATCGAGCCACATACCCAAATATCTAACTTTGTCTACTAATTTCAGTGCACTACCATTTACATTAATAATAGCCTTATTACATTTATGACCTCTCGAAAAAATACATAGTTTAGTTTTATTTACAGATATTTCCAAACCCAAATCTTGCAGTAATGTAAGAATAACATTAAGAGAACTTTGGATTCTGCTAGTACTGTCTATTAACGAATTTTTATTAGAGTAAATAACAAAATCGTCTGCATATTGACAGATATATGTATTCTGTATACTGCGAGAAATTTCAACTGTCACGATGTTGAACAAAAGGGGAGAAATGGGGTCACCTTGAGGAATTCCTCTGTATGCCCATCTCGAATAAAAATTATCGTCTTCGTCTAACTTTATAAGGAGATGCCTTTCTTTTAAATACTCCCACAAATATGTACAAATTTTAACTCCTACATTACATTTATCTAATTTATCAATAACTGCGTTTACCAGGACGTTATTATAAGCACCCTCAATATCTAAAAAACATGCTATAGTTTGTTGATTTTTGGAAAAACCACTATATATGCTAGAAACAAGACGTACTAATGCATCTAAGGAAGATTGAGCTCGTCTAAATCCACTTGTATATTTTGATAAAATCTTATTATGTTCAACATACCATTCAAGGCGATTTTTAATCATTGAGTGAAAAATTTTACATAAGCAGGATAGTAAAGATATTGGTCGTAACTTATTACCTGGATCGTTAGGTTTTGGAATAGGTATAATCAATATATCTTTCCACTGTTTAGGAACATGTCCAGAACTAAATATCAAATTATATAACTGTAATAAATAAAGCTTAGCATTATCCGGTAAATGATAAACCATCGAGTATGTAATTTCATCGCTACCGGGGGCAGTATCTTTATATTTTAAACAAATTTCTAATTCTTGTTTAGTAAAGTTTGCATCTAATTTAGGATTATCTGAATTTATAGGGGGGCACAACTGGACAGTGTAGTCAGGCGTTAAGGAATCTATTAAGTTTCTCTTTTGTTTATCCGGAAAACATTGACGCGCGTGTTTGTTTCCTTTCATCCATTTCATTTTTCTCCACATTTCTGATACCGAAGTGTTTTCATTAATACTGTCACAAAAACTATACCAATTATTTGATTTTGCTCTGCGAATTAACCGTTGAGCTTCTGCTATTTTAGATTTTAAACGGGCGTTATTAGCATCAGTGGGATTTTTCCGAAAAATTTTAAGTGCTAAACGCCTTTCTGCTATTGCTTTAGACAGATCTTGGTTCCAATATGGTTTAACTTGAAAATTTGAGATAGGGTTATTACTAATTTTAATAAATGGTACATTATTATTAGTAGCTTTAGTTATTTGATCCAAAAAATAATCATACCTAATCTGTACATTATTTGTTACAGGAATATTTCTAAAATCAGAGTGAAGTTCATTTTTATAATTTATCCAATCAGCAGCTCTGAAGTTTCTTCTATTAGCAATATGTACATAGTCTTGATATTTTAAGCATAGTTTAATTACATTATGATCACTTCCTAAATTTTCATTGGTGACGTCCCAATTAAAATTCATAGATATATCTGTGGAGCAAAAAGAGATGTCTGGCGAAGTTTTATGTGTAATACCATCTACTAATTTAATACGTGTAGACCTGTTATCATTAAGTGAAATAAGACCATATTCGATAGAACTATCGTACAAGAAATTACCTCTGCTGTCTGATTTCGTCGACCAATTGGTATGATGACCATTGAAGTCGCCAACTATTAATGATTGTTCCGTAAATTGCGAAAAAATTTCGTCCCAGTCACTTTTTGTAGTATGGACCGATGAGGGACAATAGACAGAAACTATATATTTAACTAATTTACAGTTTAGAATCTTAATATGTATGATTTCTATGTCTGGGTTACTAACATTTATTGTATATAAACATGATTTTATAGATTTATGACAAAATATTGCTACTCCACCATATGAGTCTGACCTATCTTTTCTATAAATATTATACCCGGTAACGCGTAAAGATGATTCAGGCTCCAACCATGTTTCACTAATAACTGCAATATGAATTTTTTCTCGATTTAATAAAAGTTCAAAATCTACTAACTTTGGCTGTAAACTTCGTGCATTCCATTGTAAAATGTTAATATTAAAGGTTTTATTATGATCCACCTTTGATAATATTAATTACTGATTCTAACAACTCTCCTTCTTTAACATATCTGAAACACCAATGCATAAACTCTTCTATGATAATTTTAATACTGAATGTGATTTTTTTTTCAAATGATGATTCTGACAGAATTATTTGTTTGATTTTATAATAAATTTTGTAAAATGTCGAGATATTTTTGCGTTCTTTTGTTCTATCTCTTCCACTATCATCTTTGTCAGAGGTATTCTCTTCTGAACTAAGTTCTTCCTCTGCTCTTTCTTCTATTAAGTTACTAGAATTTCTTTGCTTTTTTTCCTTTTTCTTCTTGTGTTTCGACTTAGACGGTAAATTAAGTATTACAGAAGTTGTCTCTTCGTTTTCATTTATATTCTTCGTTACTTCACTGTATGAGCGCTTAGCAGCACTGGAATTCTGATAATCTTGTTTATATGTTACGGAATCTTCTGAAACATTAGCTTGAGTACTTATGACACGTAGTTCTTTGCCGCTTGACAACTCTTGTAAATATACAGACAGTGCTTTCTTGTCAATAGCCAAATGTTTACCTTTGCAATTAATACAAAAAAAAATATTCGTATCGCATTTATCATGATCATCTCCACATTTTGCACATTTAATTTTATTAGTTGGACAAAAACGCTTCATATGACCAAATTTCCAACAAGTTGAACATTGCGATACGGGAAAAATGTATTTTTCTACCTTAAACCGGCACCCATATCCAACGATATGTGGAGGTAAGGTATTACTTTTAAAGCAGAAACGAACTGCTGTACTATCTATCCATTTTCCCATCGCATCCAGTCGTTTTAATCGACGTACAGAGCTTATCTCGTAAATACTTTCAAAAGTTTCCAACATTTCTTTTTCTTCTATGTCTAAATCTATTTCCTTCACTATACCATAGGTAAAATCTAGTTGGGACGTGTATTGACATCTAACGTCTAATTCGGATAATTTTTGACACTTCAGTAATTTTTCGGCATCTAGTTTATATTTTAAAGTTATGAAGCACTTAAAAGGTCCTTTATATTTAATTTTCAAAATATTTGTAATGTTGTCTGCTTTTAGTAATTTTGCCATACCAAACTGTTTAGGAAGTGTTTGTTTAGAAAATAGACATACCTCAAAAAAATCATCGTCGCTTAGACCTTCATCCATATCTATCTCATTATTTTCGTTACTACACTTCGAAAAACTGCGATGTATACGTTTTTTTCGTCTTAATACCGTAGTGAAACCTTCATTATCATCTTCACCTTCTTTACTTTCATCAGAATCGGGTCGGTTACGTTTTTCCACAATTCTCTCGTCGGTATTATTGTCAATAGTGTCATGAGTATCTTCCGTGTTTTGTTCATCCAAATCGTTATAAATTACCTCCTCATTTGCATTGGATAAATAACTATTAGATCTATTAAAACTATCCATTTTCACTAAGTAAATTAAACATGTGGGTAGTTAAAACAATAAAATATAGCACAGTAATAACCACCTACAAACGTGCGTACGCCTCGACAGTCGGGGCGACACTGATTTCCAGCGAGTTGATCTTGAGTTTCTTTTTGTTTTGCAGGTATATTTCGTAGTTCTATTTCATGCATACGACTCTTACGTGACATCTCCTCTGTCTTTTGTTCTAATAGAAGAATCTTACGCTCATAGGCATTTTGGTTTTTTTCCAAATTTGTAATCCTGTCATTTAAGGCATCGAATTGTGATGACAAAAAAGTTAAAGACTTCTCGATTTCACCATTAGATTTTTGGACGTCTGTTAGTTGTTCTTTAATTGAGGCGAGATCTGAACGAAATTCAGAAAATTTTTCATTCTGTTCCGCCTTCCATGTCGATAACAGACTGGTGATATAATCTTTGAATCCATCAAATGCACTTTCAAAGTCAAAATCCCTTGTTCTCTTTAGTCTTGAAGACACCTGTCTCTGTCTAGGCAAGAATTCCTCTTTACTAGAAGCTAGGCTGGGATCTGACCCATACAAGCTAGATTTTTTATCTGGAGTGCGTTGCATTATTAATACTGTAGGCCTAAATGTATTAAGTAGCCGTCGGTAAGTTGCAATGATGCGTAATTTATCAATGAAGCGCAGGTGTCGTGTTGAGTGCGTGTGCGGCGGTGTGCATAATGCTGGAGTAAGCTAACACGGCAGGAGGGGGAGTGATTGGCCAATTAGCAACAGGTAGTCGTATATGCTACAGAGGCGTAAACAAGTAATATTGTATTTATCTCACTCACCCCGAAGACGTTTCTTTCTAATAGTTTTAATGCGACTCTCGCCACTTACTGCTGTCCTGGTACTTGGGTTTGCACTTGTTGAATTTATTTTATTTAATTATTTGTTTTATTAAAATTATGAATTTAATTTTGGTGATGAAAACAATGGTAACAAAACGTAACGTTGCACACGACCGTATCGTACGGGCTCCGGGAGGGAAGGGGAATATGTACTGATATCAGTTATTTGAGGAGCACAATAAAATACGTCTGTTCACTATATAACATTTAATTCGAGAGAGCGCAACCTACCCTACAACAATTGTATTTGTGATTCACTTAACTACCTACATATATTACACCTCCACCCTTATATACTAGTACAATTATATTTTACAAATAAAACATTTTTTTTTTTTACATTAGTCGAAGTCGAACCCATATCTATGTACAGACTTCCTACATCGTTTGAGACGGCTCACCGGTGTTTCTATGGGGTTATCAATATCCGATTTTGTAGAAACTCCAGGGGATAATGCCAAATTTGAAGTTACGGGAACCTCACCTCCACCTGAAATTTCTACATCTGCTCCTAACTGTGTAATAGCTTGCATATCCATGGACTCAGTTACGGAATCATCAACACCCGTGTTCGTATGTTGTGATGAAACTACTATATCTGTAGTTGAAGGCACACCATAACAGCTACTACGTCTTTTTTTTATCTGATCTGCATGTCTTTTAATGGATGGACCCCCTTCCCTACTTACAATATAATTTCTAGAACCTACTTTATTGTTGATTATACCTTCTATCCACTTTTTTCCTGTATAGACTCGCGCCCATACGGTTTCCCCTACATTAATAGTTTTTGGTGTACCGCCTGCGTTATGTACTTGTCTTTGTTGCGATTCCTGTACTTTTATTTCTACCTGCCTATCTTCTCGTAGTAAATCCAGCCTACACCTTAACTTTCTACGCTGTAATAGCACCGCAGGCGGTACTCCAGTGGTACTGTGTTCAACATTTCTATACATCAACAGATAAGTTTGTAATGATGCATCTAAATCACTACCATCTCTTAATGATTTCTTAATCGCGCGTTTGCAGTTTGACCGCGTTCTCCGCTGCTCCGTTCGACGAGGGGTGATACACAGGGGTAAACGTCGTTTTAATACCATTCTTTGCCATAAATTCAGCATACTCTCGCCTACTGAATGGCGGTCCATTATCAGAAACAACTTCCTTGGGAAGCCCAAACCGTGCAAAAGTCTCACAGAGTACTTTTATAACCGCTGTTCCCGTGGTTCTCGCCATTAGGAATATTTCTAGCCATTTACTTGTAGCATCTATAATTACTAAAAACGTTTTACCTTGAAATGGTCCTAGGAAATCAATGTGCAAACGCGACGACGGCTCCTCAATATAGGGCCACGGTTGCGGTGGTACATGCGGTGGTGCAGTGCCCTCTACCGCACACGTGATGCACTGCTTACATGTGTTCTCGATGTCTAAATCTATACCTGGCCACCAAATAATACCGCGTGCTATATTCTTCATTTTAACAATTCCTAAATGTCCAACATGTAGTTCTTTCAGTAACTCCGCTCTCAATGCATTAGGTATCACCAACCGATAGCCCCAGATTATACAACCCCTATCGATATACAACTCATTTCTGCGAATAAAAAAGGCTTTAGGGTTTCATCTTTACAATCGTTCGGCCACCCTGATTGTAAAAAATATACTATTTTCATTAATATATCATCCTTCATAATACTATTTTGTACTACTTTCCTTGTTATTGGTAAAAAATTTTGAATAAAATTTAAATAAGTTATTTCTTTGCCCTTTAATTTTTCTTTTTCCTATCGGTAACCGAGATAATGCATCTGCTGCATTGTTCTGGCTTCGTACGTATTCTATGGCATAGTCATATCCCGCTAAAATTACAGCCCAGCGCTGCAACCTGCTAGCTGCCATTATCGGTATACCGGTTTTATCTCCAAAAATCGATACAAGCGGTTTATGATCTGTTCGGAGCGTAAATCTCCGGCCATACAGATATTGATGAAACTTACGCACCCCGTAAATTATAGCCAGGGCTTCTCTATCAATCTGAGAATAGGATCTCTCGGCTGCATTGAGAACTCGGGATGCGTACGCTATTGGCCTCTCCTGTCCTCCAGTCATAATATGTGAAATAACGGCTCCTATTCCCGTACAGCTGGTGTCCGTCGTCAGCACTATAGGCAGCTCCGACGAATAATGGGCTAATACTGCACTAGAAATTAACATACATTTTATTTTATTAAATGCATTCATACATTGCACGTTCCACTCATACTTAACTTCTATTTTTAATAAGTGATATACTGGGCTCAATACTGTACTTAGATTAGGCACAAATTTAGCATAATACATTATAAGTCCCAAAAAGGAACGTAACTCCGTAATATTGTTTGGTATAGGGGCTTTTTTTATTGCTTCGATCTTCTCAGGACAGGTTTGAACCCCTTTTTTACTTATAACGAACCCTAGATATGTTACCGAGTCTGCAAAAAATGTGCATTTCTCTTTTTTTATCTTTAACCCATATTTTTGTAACCTTTCAAAAACTTTATGTAATGTCTGTATGTGTGACTCGTCATCCCTGCCTGTAATAATTAAGTCGTCTAAAAACACCCCTACTGTCGGTATATCTGCAAAAAGTTGCTCCAGTTTTCTTTGAAAAATTCCAGGACTCGAGCTAACCCGTAGATCAGTCTCTTGTACATAAATAATCCCTTATGTGTATTAATTACCGTGTATTTTTTTGATTCGTCTAGCTCAAACTGTGCGTACGCTTGCGATAAATCTAATTTTGTGAATTTATCCCCGCCATGCAATTTTGTAAGTAAGTATTCTACCTTCGGAAGGGGATAGTGGTCCACCTCGAGACATTTATTGAGAGTGATCTTAAAATCTGCGCATACCCGTATGGTGCCGTCCTTCTTCATTACCGGTACGATGGGCGTGGCCCAGTCGGAGGTAGTGACCGGCGTGATGATTCCGTCTCTCAGCATCTGGTCGAGCGCGCGGCCCACGGGCTCGCGCAGCGCGTCCGCGAGCGGCCGCGCCCGCATGAACACCGGCCGCGCGTCCGGACGCAGCCGGAACCCTACCGTGCCTCCGGTGAACCGTCCCAACTTGTCCTCGAACACCTCACAGTATCTGGAACTGAATTCCTTAATATTAAAGGTATCCGTCGAAGTACCTATTCTGTAACATGACAATGCAGACAATCATTTATCTATTTCTAATTCTTCTAACCAATTTCTACCCAATAGGCAAGTTTTCCCCTTATCTATTATGTACAAATCTAATTTTTTGCATAACTCGTTGTATTTTACTACCTGTGTAATTTTGCCCAATGGGGATACAGTTTCCCCTGTATAGTACCTTAACACTAAATTACAAGGTTTTAACTTACAAGGTTTGAAATAATTATTGTAACAATCCACATTTATACATGATATAGCACTCCCAGTATCTATTTCCATTTTTAACCATACACCTTCAATATTTATATTGACGGTGTATGGTCCAAAGCATTTCAAATTTGTGTGTAATGAATAATTATTTACCTCGTCACTATTATCACTGTCCGATTTGTCCAAATACCGCACCTGTTCTTCTTGTAAATTGTACAGCGATTTATGACTCTGTATTCTTGGGCACATCTTCTTTAAGTGTCCACTTCGATTACACACTCTACAAACATAAGCCTTAAATTTACATGGAACAGACTCATGTTCCCCCCCACATACGTTACATCTATTTTTCCAGCTACAATTCTGGTTTCTGTTCGATCTGGTGTGTGTATATTGTCTCCTGTCCGCTCCGCTCGTGCCCCCGTCCGCTCCGCTCGTGCCGCTTGGACCGTGTTCGTATTGCTGCGTAGCTCGCCGGCGATAATGGTCGGCGGCCGACCGGCCGCGTGCTCTGCCCCCGCCGCCCGCGCCGCCCGCGCCCGCCGCGTGTCCGATGTGATGCAGCTCGGCCGCCGCTGAGCGCGCCGCCCCTTGCCTACTGTCACCTGGTCTGCTCCTGGTACAGTCTTCTATCAAGGCCGCGTTCGTCTCGGCTGCCTCCATCGACACAGCAATCTTATATGCTCGCTCGAACGTGATCGTGTCATCCTCAGTAAATAACCTCTGCC